ATCGGGCTCCCTGCTCGGCGGGGAGTCTGCTTCTCCCTCTGACCCTCCCCCCTCTCATGTGCTTGCTCTCTCTCATATTCTCTCACTCAAATAAATAAATAAAATCTTTAAAAAAAAAAAAAAAGAAATGTTATAAAAATTGAGAAGTTATATGAAGTGAAAAGCATCAAGCAGGTTCACAACAAAGACTGCCTTTTCTCCAAACTTACCTATATTAACTTATAATTTATTTTTGGTAACTTCAAATTTCTAGTAGGCATTTACTTGGAAAGCAGAAGTGAAACAAAATAACTACCATAATTCACTAAGAAAGTCAGAAACAGATAAATGATAGCTCACTTTGAAATGCCAAGATTTTAAATCCAACTTATTTTCATATAATTTTACTATCTATAGTTCTTTTATGAGCATTTATCAAGGAATCTTAAAATTTTTAGAAGTAAATAAACAGTATTAAGGAAATAAATTGATATTCCTTAAAAAACCAGAACATACGCAAAAATAAAGAATTAGAACATATGCCTACTTGAAGGACGGTAGTTCCTGGTTCCACCATGACAGATTGACCATCAACAAATACTTCAATTAAGTTGCTTGCTGCTGTGGCAGTTGTTCGAACTGACCATCAAAAATATTGAGATGAGAAATAAATTAAAAGAGTTAAATTTATTATAGCAGAGGATAGTGGATTAACTCTAACCTACAAGCCTAAGATTGTTCCTAATTTTATACCATTTCCCTCTATTTCTCTAGATGCAAACCTATAAAATATAGAATTAGATAAAAGCTTTTCCAATCCTGAATACCAGATAGAATATGGCTATCCACTCTTAATGGTAGTTTAAGCTGAAACTTTTAATACCACTGAAAATATGTTCATGGGAATACCACTTTTCAAAAGCAGCATGACAGCTTTTCCATTCTGGCAATGATAGGCAGTTCCTACTACTTTCTATTTCATGACACCTCCTATAAATTGTTTAGTTATATTTTAAAAATTACTCTAGGTCGCCTGGGTGGCTCAGTCAGTTAAGTGGTCTACTCTTGATTTTGGCTCAGGTCATGATCTCCGGGTTGTGAGATCAAGCCCTGGGTCAGGCTTCCAGCTCAGTGGGGAGTCTGCTTGAGATTCTCTCCCTCTGCCCTTCCCCCTGCCTGTGTGCTCTTTCTCTCTAAAATATATAAATAAATCTTTTAAAAAATTATTCTATTCGACTACGGTCACTTGTTTCTATTTTATTTAAAACAAATTACAGTTTAGGGTCCTTTAAGAAACATTCCATAAACCAATAAATTTACAAAGATAGAAAATCTAGTATCCACAAGCGCAAAATAAAAATAAAATACTTACCACATCCTTTAGAAGACTTAGAAAGGCCTACTAAGGCCCTTTTTAGAGGTATCCTTAACATATTGCTAAGAATAAAACAAAGAAGAGTTATATTATCATAGGGGGAAAAAAACCCTAATTACAAACTTTTTGGTAATAGTTCGTAAGTTTTAAACACTTCACAAACATTATTACATTGAACATTCATGAGTCCTGATGTTTTCCCTCAAATTCTAGAGATGAGAATACTCAGTCTCAGGAGATTAACTGACTTGTACAATGTCAAGGAGCTAAGAAGGAGCAGCTAGTATATAAATCTATATAAAGGGCAGTTTTGTGTTGTTTTTAACTATGAAAAATGATCAAATGTAAAACATTATGTAGTAAAATAAACTCGAAGAACAACAGTGAGCTTACCATTAATACTATGTAAAATAACGTCTACCTTTCTGCCTTCATTTCCTACCAATACTCATTCTAACATCCTATGTTCTAAGCAGTTATCTACTAAATGTTCCTGAGATTCTGAGCTGGCTCACAAGTCCAAGCCTTTTAAGTGTCTGGGGTGCCATCTTCTGTGCTTAGTACATTTATCTTACAGATTTGCAATTATAAGTCTGTTCTACCCTCACTGTATGATGAACTTCTTCAATTTTTCCATCTTCAGTGCCTATTTCCAAGGCTGGTACACAGTAAGCTCTAAAATAGTGGTTCTCAACCAGGGACAGTTTTGCTTCCCAGGGAACATTTACCAATATTTGGACACACTGTTGTCACAACTGGGGGAAAGCTACTGGCATTTAGTGGGTAGAGGCCAGGGTGCTGTTAAACATCCTGTAATGCACAAGGACAGTTTCCCATAATAAACATTTGTTGTATTACTAAAAGAAATGGGAATTATATAAATAATACTAATTAAAGATACACACAAGCAAACAGAAAAGTTATCTGAACTTTTAGTTTTTATCCATTCACTTGATCATAAGGGCTAAGCACTGAACTTTCTGTCCACTCACTTGATCAAATAGGCTAAGCATCTGAATTGTAATTTTTCACTTAGAACTTCTAAAAATGGAAATTATGTGATCAGAATGTATCAACATAATGACTTTCAAAGTTAGAGAGTGGAAGACAGTCTTACACCTTTTAAGCATGAAGTTTCACATACCTACTACAGAAGAGGTATAACAGAAAATTTCATTAATTCAGACTTTAGTTAACTCATAACATTCATTAATTCAGAACTTTTGATATTAAATTTGCAGACATGAAGTCTATCACCTACAAGTGAGTGATTTTTGGTAAATCGAGTTTCTGCTTCTTTATCTATTGGTAAGGAAGAAAACAATACTTCCTAGGCTATGCGTTATTGGTAAGAGTTCAATAAATGTCAATTAAATCTAAATTCAGTTCAGACAGTACTAGCCACTGAAGATCAGTTTCAAAGTCCTCTCCCTTGGTACTCCCTCTGTACCATCAGCACACACTGTGTATATAGCTTTATTATTCCACCTACTAAATTATAGGTTAGTAATCAATTTTAGTACCTACTAAAGTGTAAGTTCCTTGAAGAGAAATGGTGCAATTTGGTCATTTCCCTTTTCTGAAGACTTAGCCCTTGAAAAAATAACCACCACATAATCTTACCACCAAGTTCCAAAGTGAGTAGCATCTGTCTTACTAACTTCTTCTGATGATATAAAGGTAAATCTGAATTTGCTGAATTAGAGTAATGACAGACTGAAAATCAACAATCAATATTTCATACAACAATGTAAACACTTTCTTACTATTATTTTGTCTCCAATACAATCTAAAAGTATTGTCCACTTTAGCTAGGAAATCAACGAGAACTAGGATGTCTCTTGAAAATCCAGCATCAAATGGAAGAGTGCGTAGCCCCAACAGAAGACAGTTTTACAAAACTTTGAAATGTACTTTACACATATTTATCTCCCACGTAGGAATGGAAATAGTCATCTCTAAATGGGAAAATGTTAATGACCAATCATTTCTAAAACTGGAGTGGACACTTTTTAGTATAAGAACAGTACTATTCCACATTCCCCACCGTATATCCTGCATCCATGCACTTCTCTCCTTCCAAGGTACCACTCTACTGTATGCCACCATCATCTTGTCTGGACTATTACAATAGCCCCCCAGCAGGTCTCCTAGCTTCCACACTGTCCCTACAGCCTCTCCCCTCTCCCCACAGGCTGTGGCCTCAAACTGAAATGCTCTTTCTTCAGATCTTTCTGGCTTCTTGTCCTTCAGATTTGGGCTTAACAGACATTCCTCAGGGAGGCTTTCCTTGATCAACCTATCTTAAATTCCCTTAACTACTCCCCAGTCAAATCACCCATTTTATTCTTCCTCATGGACTGATTTCTAGTTTATAACAGACATTCAACACTATTTGAGAAATGAATTCTATCTCAAATTTCTGGCCAAAACTTCCACTTCCCTGGAATTAAAAAGTGCAGGTGCTCTGACAGCTTTGTAACACCCTGCTCAACGATGCATATGCAATTCGGTGTAAAAAAGAACATTCCCTATGGAAACAACCTGGATGTTCATTCATCAGAAACAGTTCACGATACATTTTCAATGCCCTCAAATCGTTCTGGAGCAGAGTTGTGTCTGATCCACGGTCTTAAACGGTACATGCATTAGATCCCTACATAGCTAAACGTAGCCATGTCATTCGCAGTGCGACGTTGGGCAAACTTTTTAAGTATCATTTTCTTCAGTTTCCCCACCAGGGAAAGGAATAAAAAATATTGCCCAATGCACTCAACGTACAAAAACAAAACAAAACAACAACAACAAAAAACCCCAGAGGTGTGGATGGTTGCTAAGGCAACAGCGGCCAAACTGTGTACTATACCAAGTATATGTTAATTTGGGGGGGTGTGAAACGCTCAGTCTTTAGGCCTAAGTCACTTGACATACGTCCTCTCCCAGGGAACAAAACGGCCTCCTCTCCACAAAGGGGAATGTCCTGCATTTCCCTTGCAGAATGAAGGTCACCCCAAGCCTGCCTCCGGGCCAGCGCTCCCACGGCCTCCAGGTTCTCCACCTGCTTTCCGCTCCAAGAGACCGGAGACCACGCCAACAGCCCTCACCTGCCGGCTCTAGGGGCTTCCGGAGGAAGGGGGGGTGGGACGTGGCGCCCAGTCAAGGACAAGAGTAGAATGAGTCACCTGGGCCAAAAGAAACAGTGTCGTCAAGAAATCAACTGCTATGGCAAGGGGAACCTCAGCCTTCTCACGCTATCACGGCCTCACCTTCTCCCTGGAAACGCCGAAGCTGCTCTGCAGAACTGCCTGTACCGCACCAACCCCCTCAGAGGCCGGGTTGCTTATTCAATATGGCGGCCTCGGCTAACCTCGCCCGCCGGGCCTGGAGAACGGGAAGCCAGGAGGGACTAGAAACTCCAGATTCGACAATTTCCGCTCAGTTTGAGTTCGGCAATTTCCGTCCCC